CGCATCAAGTAATCCACAAAAAAGCGATTACAACTGTTACAATCTGCTCAACCTTTATAAATAACAATACAATCATTAAGGGTTCTCAAGAACTAGGATTCACTTTCATCCACCTACTCACTGTTGCATTCAAAAATATATAGAAGCATTTAAAAAAATAATCAGAATTAGACTAGTCGGTGAGATTCGACTGAAACCGTCGCGGAGAGTCACGTTATAGATATGAGAATGGGTGAAACGGGCCGGCGCATTTACACTAAACTTTTCTGTCACGTAGCGGGCGCAAAATATCGTCTTGCGGGTCACAAATGGCTCGCGGGCCGCGAGTTTGAGAACCCTATATTAGATGTTTATTTATTCACGATTATCTCATTTTTTATAAAAAGAATGTAAATATTTATACTTTCCCACATCATTTTCGATGTATGCAGAGTGTATGTGGGAACGAATTTCAATATATCTTAACATTTCATTTTCGGTTTCGGCTTCGGCCGAAATTCATTTTTAACTTTCGGCCTTTTTTCGGTTTCGGCCGAAAGTCATTTTTAAACTTTCGGTCTTTTTTCGGTTTCGGCCGAAAGTCATTTTAAACTTTCGGCCTATTTTCGGCTTCGGCCGAAATCAGAAAATCACTTTCGGTCGGTCTCTATTTGTGTGTGTGTGTTAAACATGAATGGTAATTGTTTATTCAACAAGTTATATTTCATTCCACAGAATTACCCAAGTTCCATCGGCTGCAGAGACAACAACAGAAGAACAGCCCGAGTCTAATGCCGACCAGCCACAGGACTCAGAAACTCCACTTATACCTCGGGCTCTGCCAATGCATTTTAGTACGCCCTTGAACCCACCACTGAAACCACATAAGGGGAACCCACCACAACAGCAGCATCGATTGCCTCAACATTACCCATTATTTCTGCAACAGCCAGCATTGCAGCAGCAACTATCACCGCTAATGCGGTCCTTGCATCCGCAACAGACAGCGCTACAGCAGCAACCATCACCTCTACTGCGATCCTTGCATCCGCAGCAGCCAAGGCCGCAGCAGCAACTATCACCTCTGATGCGCCCATTGCTTCTGCAACAGCCAGTACCACGGCAGCAACTGTCACCTCTGCTGCACCCCTTGCTTCCGCAACAACCAGCATTACAGTCACTACTATCACCTCATCTGCATCGATTACTCCCGCAGCAGTCAGCGCCCTGGCAGCAAACATCACCTTTTCAGCATCAGTTACCTCCACAGCAACCATCACTAATACAGCACCCATTACTTCCACAAAAGCCAGCACCCATGCAACCTGAAGCTGAAGACCATGTTAAAACTTTGCTTTGGCAAAATCCAACTAATCAGCTCGATGACCCACTTGGTGTCTCACATGGTGAAGATACTTTGGCGTCGTCAAAGGGACAGAGCCCGTCAGGTCCCGCAACTGTGTGCGACGTTTTGGGCTTGTCTGAATGGTTTGAAGCAAAAGAGCAGAGAGTGCCCAAGAAAATGAAAAAGTCTGGAGGTTCTTCAGAAACAGAGAATAAGTCTTCAGGGATCACTGTGGAATATCTGAGCCAGTCTCTGAAAAATGCTTTTGTAAACCTTTCAGATCTTTGTAAACACACCGCAGCTCCAACTGTTGTTCAGGAAGTGTGCAGACCTATGGTTTCAGAGAAGATTGACCTACTTTCTGCGGGTGAGGCGTCTCATGTGTCGGATGTAGAAGAAACTCGGAGTGTGAGCGCCGAGCCTAAAATAGAAATGAATACAGCCACCGAGGAAGAATTAGTTTTCCCAGACCGTTTGGAAAAATTCATTTGTCAGGAAGACAGCAGTTGCACTTTGAATAAAGAAGACGGCAGTGAAGACCTGGGATACCCAGTCGATGACCAGAGTAAGACTTTGAGTGAGTACAGCGCTCTTGATGAGGCTGAGAAAGGCTCACAGCTCAACTGCTCTTGCAGCACGGTTGGGTCATTTAAAAGCTGCTGCAGTGATAAGGAGACGATGCTCAGCAAGTACGGGGACATGGACTCGGAGCTTGATCATCACGAGCATCCTTCGTGGGAGGTGAACCCAGAAGGCTGCCTGAGAAATGGGCTCGATGTCAAGGCAGCTATCTCTTATTTTCAGACGGAGGAAAGCCAAAACGTCGATACGCCAGCCACCATTGTAGATGTCGAGGAGTTCGACTACAGGAAGATCCAAGATAATGAGTCAAATGAAGATGGAGAAAATAGTGGACACCAAGAGGGCATTATAAAGAAGATGCAAAAAAAGTATTCAGATGCTAGCGCTTCATCTGCTTCAGAAAGTGAGGATGAGGAAATTGTATCAGAGAATGATATCCCTCTCAAAAATTCTGAATCATCTTTATCCATACTAGACCAGTATTTTGACTCCAGCCCCCCACTGATAGACCAAGACTATAAGGCTGAAGTAGGCCGTACAAGAAATCAAGAAGGAAATACTTTAAGCAATGACGTCTTCCCAGCATCACTGGTGGACTACAGTGACTCAGAAAATGAAAATGATGACAAGGGTCTGGGGAGGGAAGGGGAGAGATTTGAAGGCGGTCATCGAAGTACACCAAGTCCAGATGAAAGTTTGAGCAGACACTATGCTACGCCGTTACAGGAAGCCGATGACACCTGCCTGACTGAAAGCTCTGTGCCCACCAGCAAGGAGGGCAGTCCCAAATTAGAAGGGAATGAGAATTCAGACAGCTCGCCCTCTAGGAGAGCTAGAAAAAAACGAGTTAAAAAGGGGCGCAATCCCGGACCTTTTATCGACGACTCGCTGAAGGTCAAGTCGAAAACTGAGAGCTGGAGCTCCTTCTATAAACAACACACCGACGGTATGCGGATGTCGCCAGTAGAAGTAACCAACTTGGAGCTGACCAGTCCGTCTACCGAGTTCAGATCGGAAAGCTCACAGTGTGACTCTTACTACTTCAGCCTGCTGCACAAGCTGAATTCTAGCGCCTTCAACAAGCTGCAGCCCATCGACCTGTCTCTCAGCGACGTCAGAGTGATCAGCTCTACATGGTCCAAGGGTGGTGAGAGCTCTCCAGCTGACACCCAGGGCAGTTTTGTTTCCAGGAAGTCCGAAACCAACGATAGGAGCACAAACACAGATGAAGCCATAGAGAAGGAGGAGGTAGACTTGGAGACTCTTCAGAACTGCTTCCCCGAGTACTCCAGGAAACAGTTGGAGTACACCATGGCGATCTGTCACAATAACCTGGAGTGGGTCTGCAGTCACCTCCTGGACTCCCCGGCCCTGATTGACATAGAGGAGGAGGAGGAAGATAACAGCCCAGTGCAACTCAAGAGAGATTCATCGGCCAGCAAGCTTAAGTCGCTGGCCGAGCTGTGCAGCTCGGTTGCCAAACAGACCAATCAGGTGGATCAGGACGACCTCGAAATGCAGATCATTGAGGCCGGGGAGACCAGGCTGCAGAAGATTGAGACTTTTGGCTGGTCCAGAATTCACAGTTACGAGAGGGGAAGGTTCAACGACGGCGGGTTTGATTATTTCAATCTTGAGGACTTTAGAGGAAGCCCATCCTCCGAGGCGTCATGGGACTTTCCACCAAAGCAGATGGTCCCACAGTATAAGACGAAACCTCCCAATAATATTTCCGGCTCATCAAATTATGACCAACATTCCAGCAACGAAGACGGATTACTGTCAAAGTCACCTGGAGGTGGTGAGATCAGCTACGCTCATACACCCTCGTCGAAGACTCCGGGCCCAAAGCGTCTTACAACGCCACCGCCAACAACACCTTTTGAATACACGCAAGATCCAGGTGTGACTACTTCAGCCACACCTGTAAATGTGCCTACAGTGCCCGGGGAATTCATCAAGTGCCTAGAACACCTGTATGGGCCTTTAAACTTACCTGTAGGAGATGAAGGTAAGATTTGGGAGTTTACAGTGACATGGCTTGAAATCATATTGAGTTTCATTGTTATAATTGATTGACGCATGCTAACTAAACCGTCTGTTGTAAATATTTTAGAACCGTTAGCATTGATTCAACAGTTAATCCTGGCAGATTTTGATAAGGCTTTAGACGCATCAAGAAGTATTGGTGGTGGCATACTAACATAGCATAGAAATATACATAAATTATTTCGATATTCTTTTTTTTTATTATTATGCAAAATATTTATCCTTATCCTTCCCCACCCCCAATTCTTTTTTTCCCTTCTCCCCGCAAACATTCATCTCCCCTTCAAAATGCAAAGGTTTGCCACTAGATGATGTCATAGCCAGGAAAATTTACAACTGCCTGAAGCTTCAAGCAACCAAGAAAGTCATCAACAACACCTCAGATCAGCAACTTCAGAATGGTATGATTATATTGGTGGTAGCATGGGATTATATTGGTGGTAGCATGGGATTATATTGGTGGTAGCATGGGATTATATTATTTGAGCCTGTTTACTTCAGCTCTGTCAAATGTTCATAAAAATCCTTTACATTTGAAGTGCGACCACCAAATAAACTGCCCATTAATTTAATTGGTCAGCATCATCAAAAATAATTTTCTTGCATTTTTTTATAAAGTTTAAGTGATGTGGTTCGTTAATTTTATTTATTTATTATTATTATTATTTAAAATTGAACTGAAATTTTTAAATAAATCTTTTTTTTAATTTTAAAAGTTTAACTAAAATTGTCAATTAATTTATTTATTTTTAAAATTGATCTGAATTTAAAAAAAAAAAAATATTGACATAAATTAACTAATCCTGGAAATTGACTGGAAATGCTGAAGAAAATACATTTCAAGAGTATAGATGTGACAAAAGGTTGATAGAGTATAGATCTGATAAAAGGTTGATAGGGTATAGATGTGACAAAAGGTTGATATTTTCAGCCACAATTCTTTTTTCATTACACATATGGCATTTTTGCTTAATTCAGCATTTCCTAATTTTATTCAGCCGTGCGTATTTCTTGAGTTATTCCTGATCTCTGAACAGCAAAGGAGTTCAATTGACTAAATAAAACACGCAGTAATAAGTGCAGCCATTTTTATGTTTAAAAAAAGTCAATCTCATGAACTTGCATCTAAAATTAAAAAAGAAAACTTAAAATGTATTTATTTATTTAAAATTTCCCTCTGCAGATGAAGCATTGGCCAGGGCACTTCAGGAGGAAGAAGACTCCCAGGAACAGAAGAAAAGCAACCACCACCCTTTGGGGAGTGGGAAGAAAATTGTGGCCGGCTGGAGCAACCAAATGCCAGCCTGGATGTACCAGGGTGGCATGACCTCTGGGCTTCAGGGACACAGTGCACCTGCAGCGAGCCCTTTGGTGACGGGAGGAGGTAACTCTAAGAAACCAAAAGGGTCCCAGGGGAAGAAGCATAAACCGTTCAATTTACAGAAAAGATTGGCGGCAGGTGGCATTAAGTCAGGTGAGGCCGTGATGCATTATAAGAAATTGTTTAGTGCAATTGCTAATTATGTATTTCTATCAAATCTAATGCTAGAATTCTTACTTCTCATATTAAAAAAAGTTTAATTTTTTTTTACATGAACATAGCGCTGAGTCTTTCCTAACAAACAAAATTTTTAATGCCCTCCTTTTCTTTTTGGTTGTTTTCCTGTGTCTGTAGTGTGGGCCGGGGTGAAGAGGAGAGGACAGGCGGATTCTCTTCAGTCCATCATGGAGGAGGAACAAGCCAGAGAGGAGTCACAGAAAGAACAGGTACGAGGATATCTTTGGCCCATAAATACGTTTGTACCCCAGACTTTCTTTTAATACCTCTTATCGCTCATACACGAACATATAAACATTGAATCCATACGGGCGAACACTGATTTGTATAAACCTCTGTGCCATGGAAAGAAAAAGAGAAAACCACACAGACAGTCTCAGCCATGGTCAAGGTTTGCATTTCCGTTATAATTTCATAGTAGTCTATTACTGCACTTTTTAACAATTCATTAATTTTTTTTTCTTTAAGTTTTACACAATCGCGCAAGTTGATCAAAGTGTTGCTTCCGATATAAAAAAAAAAAAGAGTTTGAAAGAAATGCTCCTGTTGTTGCACTAATAAATTTGACTCAAGATGGTTGTAAATATTAGGGACAGCCCGCAGCCCTTGATTATGTCAGAAAATGTCTCTGGATTGATCTGAATTGATTTAAGAATGAATAGCATGCTCATTTCTTCCTCCTTCAAAAGAAAAAAAAACGGTTTCAACGATTTAAGTCTCATCAATTCACCTTTTCTACAGTTAAGAGATTTTTAAAAAAAATATATAAATGTTTTCAGTTTGTAATATTTCAGCATGGCAGCAGAGTATGTAAATATTTGACTTTCAAGTTTGTTGTTGAGTTCAGATGTCTGAAAAAGTTTCATCACGTTTTCTGCATGCTCTGAGACTAAGCTTAGAAAATATGTTATGCCAAAGTGTTCAATCTGTTTTGTTGTTTGTTTTTTTATTTTGCTTTTATTTGCATCGGGTGAACCAGTTGGGTTAATGAATGTTTGAAAGTTAATGTTAAGATTTAGTAAAAAAAAATGTTTTAACCTATGATTTTCCTTTTATTTTTTTTATGTGTTTATTTTTACCTGAAGCAGTCAGGAGAAATATTTCTGGTGGCCCGTTTTCACTATATATTTATTTTTTATGAAAGACTAAAAGTAACCATATTGCCTTACTCTAGCTTCAAAAATTTATGTATTAAATATACACATAGTACCATGATGGTTAACTTCTTTGAAGTAAATTAGAATCACAAAATTTCTGTAATTTATATTCTAGATCAGTGTCTCCCAACTTTTTCTAGGCTGTGTGCCTCCTACAAATTATATGTGTCTAGTCTCTCACACCCCACCCCCCATGAATTGTTTTACTAAGTCCCACGCCTCCTACAAAAGTAAGAGTGCATTTTAAATTTAGAACATAACAGACTGGTAATTTATTTATAGAATTGCAAAGAGAACTGTAGAAAAATAAGATAAAGAAACTAGTGACTTATCTCTTTAAAGAAAATGTAAATGAAGAACTGTATAAAAGCATGGAGGTATTTATGCGTATCCTGAAATTTGATAGAAAGAAACTTCGCCGACGGTAAATTGATCGACAGTAATTTGATCTAACGGAAATTTGCTCAAATCTTTTTTTTCACTTGACACGTTAAAATTTTGATTCAAGTTTCTTTTTGAACGCATTATTTTGTTTTACTATTTATTATAGTGCGTTCAAATAGAAATTTGACATAAATTTTAACGTGTAAACTGAATAAAAAGATTCTGCTCTTACGATCCCTTACTCTTGCACCCCCTGAAAAGGATACCAGGACACCTTGCATCCCCAGGTTGGGAACCCTGTTTTAGATCATTTATCAACGCCTTCATTCTTGATATGATGAGGTAACAGGGGAGTCAATCAAGTTGAAAATGTTTCTTCTGTCAGGTTTTAAGTTGATTTTTTTTTCCCCTCTTTTTGTTTTTTTTTTTTTTTTCCCCCCTTTTTCCCCCCCCCCCCCCCCCCATACATTGAGCAGCTTGAGTTCTTGGCTGTGTGATGGTTTAAACAACTGTTTGTAATGCAAGCGTACAACTGTGAGCCATAAGTGAAAGACGTAGTTAACTCAACTTATAAATAATAAGTGTATTTCATTCACCTCTTATTTTAGAATTCATCAGCTGGGAGGGTGGGGTTGGGTGGTGGTGCTCACATTCAGTTCATATTTACAGCATCATGGCAGGTAAGAGATGGGAAGCTTATAATGGGGATAATTTTTTTGCACAAAAAATTTGACACGGTTGGCTGGAGTAATGTTTCCCCGGGTGGCCTGTGGCTGTGTCGTGAAATATACGGTGACATCTTGTTGTAAATTCCATAGAAACCTGTTGAATATTTTTATAAATGTTTATTGATCAGATGCGCCTTTTTGAACTGACCGGAGACACCCATGCTCTGGCCACCAGGATCAAGAGAAACAAACTGGCCGAACTTTTCCCGAGTCTGAGTCCTGAGTTCCTGGAAGACATCTTCATGAATGCGGGGTAAACTTCATTCACTGTATTAGTCGTCGGCTCATAGTCTAAAAATAAATAAGCTCAGCATAAAATTTGAACTTTTATTAAAAAAAAATTTTTTTTAAACCGGTCCACCTTTTTTTTGCCCTCAGCACTCAAATATATGTTTTCTTGACCCAGTTTCAAGTTTTTAAGTGTTGAATTACATAACGTTTTGTGTTATGTCTTCAGTATATAATTTTTAGATAAAATTCAATACATTTCACATTTATGTGAAATAAGTATGAGTTTAAAAAAAAATATTTCTTTATCACAATCAAGACCAAATAAAGATGATGCATATGTTATAGAATAAGAATAAGTTTTCATTAGTAATACTTAACAAAAAAATTTTTTTTTATTAAAGCAGATTTTTAAAAAAAAATTAAATTGATGAACTTGATGTGCCGTCTGTTGACAGGTACTCAATGGAAGACACCGTGAAGATCCTGTCAGAGCTGTACAACATCTCACCTGCCCCCATGTCCAGGGAGAGACAGGAGGAGATCATGGAGGAGGCCAAAGAGAGGAGCAGAGAAGAGTATTACAGTCAGGTGTGAATTTCCTAATTGTTTTCCAAGGGGAAGGTATAAAATATACTGTTGGGGGGGAGGCAGAACTGCAACTCAATTCATATTCAATGGTGTTAAAATAGATCATGGTATAACATCTAAAATTTAGAGCATTTGTTTGAAAATATTTTATAATAGATTTAAAATATAAACTAGAATCTGATTGGCTGTAAAAAGATGAACTAGAGTCTGATTGGCTGAACTCACTGATTGACGCCTTTCCTCAAAAGGCTTTATTTAATATGGTATTTTCAGTGTGCCATCATATTTAAAAATTTTATCCAGCGATTATCCAGACAGCTGATACTTGTAACCTTCATGTTCCATCAACCACAAGTGATCTATTTTCCTACTATTATTGCATCTTCCAGTACATTTTCCCTGAGGACGTCTACGAACCGTACGATGAAGATTCATCTCCAATGACTTATGAAGAACTTCGTAACGAAGCCCAGTTTTATCGTGGACTGGCCAGGGAGTGCCAGGAAAAGGCCTCCAGATATCAGTCCGAGGGCATGTCAGGCGCAGCTTTATTCTATCGGCAAAAGGTGAACTGGAATACTTACTTGATTTTTTTATAACTATTTTGTGTGTGTTAAATCCGCCTGTGTTTTGTGTACTACAGAGCGTTCCAACCCTTAGCACTAAAAAGCTGGTATTGATTCAACAAATAATTTTCTTTAAAGGGCTGTATCATAGGATTTATCCATATTACCATTGCTGTCTTCACAAGGTTATATTCTAATTCATAGCCGTCCTTATACTAGACCAGTAGATCAGAGACTTTTAATGTTTAGATTTATGGAAAAATTTTCTGCTTGGTCACTTGCTAATGCAGGAAGCATTCTTAGTGTTCTTTTCTTGTTTCTTTGCATCATTTTCTTTTTGGCAACATTTTTATTCTCTTCATTGGTAACATGTTATTGTGATAATATAACACCAAAAATCATCAAACTTGAGTTTTGCTTTAATGTATTTCTCAGGTCAAGGACTACAAAAGTTACGAATCAGATTCCAATCAAAGAGCCGCCGAGGTTTTGTTTGAGAAAGGGTAAATTATGATTCATTTATCAAGAATATTATTTCAACTTAATTTGCTTTGAGAATAACAATTGCATTTCCAATTTAAAACAAAACACAAACAAACACAAAAACACTGGTGGTGAAAAATGATTAATAAACTTAACTCACTCTGCTTTATTAATTCAAAACCTCTCACATCAAAATAAGATCCCTTCTTACATGGCCCTTTTTAAACTAATGAATTTGTTCACAGCAAAGAGAGATTAACCAAGGAGAATACATTAGATCTTCATTTCTACCATCTGGACGAAGCTGTCAGTGCTGTCAATTATGCCATTTCCTTGAAGGAAGAAGGTAGATAATCAAATGTCTGTGGGTCTCCATCCCTTTTTTTTTTTATGATGGGAGGTAACCATTTGATAATAAGTTTGGATTTTTTTTTTCATTTTAGACTACTCCTGCTTCTTCTAAAATATGTTGTCACTTTTATTATTAAATTTGTATAGGTCTATTATATATGGGAGACATTTTTACATTTAATGTTTGCAAAAATGCAGATATTCTTTAGTACCATTAAATGATTAGTTGGTTTTTTAAAGATTAAAGCTTATTATAAATGAAAATTGTCTTGCAATTAAAAAAAAAAATAATTTACTTACGAATGCTTTTTTCATATTCTTTGTTCCACTACCACCAGAGTCTCGTCTAAGGCCCGACAGGAAAAGTACTTACTTAAACATTGTTACCGGGAGAGGACGCAATAGTAAAGATGGCGTGCCCATACTCAAGCCTGCGATCATGAATCACTTGCGAGAAAGGTGTCTGCGGTAAGTAATGACTGCCATTGTTGTTATTATTAATATTCCCATGTTTTGGTTCAGTTTGAATACATCAAAGTGGTCATTGTAAAATGTTCAACTGAGGTTGTGGTTGTCCTGCTGTCTGTTGTCGTTTGCTTGCTTTGGCGTCTGCCCATAAGGTTTTGATGGGCTGGTGTTAACCACCTACATACAAGAACTTTAAACATTTCTGCAGAATACTGTCTTGTGTTAGTACAGTTCTGATGTAGAAATATTACAATTCTGATTTAGTTTTTTTCCAAACGGACAATATTTTTGAGACTCCATGAAATAATTTTGGAGTTTTCATTTTTTTTCAAAAAGTTTCCAGTTCAAAATAAAAGCAAGTTTAACCAAGTTTAACCGAGGTATTATAAAGATTTATTTGATTACAAGACTGTAGGTTTTTTTTTTGAAATAATGGTCTCTTTATTTTGTTCATTCTTTGAGTAAAGTTTCACTATTTTATATGTAACTTTAAACAATTTTAATGTCTATAACCTTTGGCTGCAGTCCAACCTCTATTGTTGATGACATTCATTAAACAGAGCTGAAATTAGATGACTACTTACTTAGCCACTTATGCATTTGTCTACAAGATTTCTCCATTCATCTTGGTCCTGAGTTTCAGGTCCAGTTGCTTCCAGATGTATCCCATACTTTGTGTGTCTGCCTCGAGCTCGCGTCTACATGTATTCTTTGGCCTTCCTCTCTTCCTTTTTCCCTTTGGATTTCATGTTAGGGATTGTGTAGTGATGTTATCTCTTGGTTTAGAGGAGTGTGCCCAATCCACCTCGACCTTTTTTCTTATGATGTCTTCAGCAATAGGCTCTTTGTATGTCCATTCCATTAAGTCTTTGTTGATGACAATGTTTGGCCATTTTATGCTGACGATCTTTCTAAGGCAAGCATTTGTAAAGGCAATTTGAGGATTTATTTAAGGCAAGCATTTGTAAAAGCAATTAGAGGATTTAATATTTTTTTTTAGATTGGATGCAATGCCCTTCCTATCTAACCGAACTTCTTTCTGTCTATTCACCCCTTCGACAGCTTCGCTCCTCCACAGACACGTGTATTCTGTCCATTCCCAAGACACACACTAAAACATATGGTGAACGATCTTTCTCTTTCTGCGCCCTCAAACAATGGAATTTTTAGCCACTACACATCCGCAATATACCAACCACCCAGGCCTTCAAAACTGCACTCAAAACATATCTTTTTAAATTATACTACCCTGACTGATTTCCCTCCTCTGACCGATAAATGATCTTGTTGGATGCCTTGTAAAAGTCCTGGGGTTCATGCTGTTCTTTATTTCAAAAATGTATTTTATTTTAATGTCATGATTATGTCTCTTTTGATAATATTTTTATGTGCAGCGTGGTGAGCCCAGCCCTAGGCTGGGGTACCGCGCTATAAAAGACAACTAATTATTATTATTATTATTATTATTATTAATGGCTGAAATCATTTAGACACAGGGCTAGACCCTTCTAGAAAATCATAAACACACAGGACTAACCTTGTATACAATCATATAGACACAGGTCTAGACCCTAGTATGAAATTGTTTGGACACAGGACTAGACCCTAGTATAAAATCATATAGACACAGGACTAGACATTAGTATGAAATCAAATAAACACAGGACCTCATGTGCATTCTAACTGAGGCACATATGACGTGCTTTAGGATTTCCCCAGCCATCATGGTATTAGAACCACTTGGCTATGCTAAAATCCTGCCAGATAAAAAAATTGAATTAACAAAATAAATTTATTTAATTACTCATAAAAATTACAGATGGATATAAGTTGAGACTGAACTCAAGAATTTTTACTTGACTTGAAGTAATTATCATTTGAATCCACAGATTTGAAGAGAAATCTCCTGGTATGCTGAAAGTCTACTTTAGTCAACGGATGTAGTTGATCGCAAGGCCCTAAGCTGAGGGCTTTGGTGCTGAAGAATTTGGCTTGAAATCATCAACAACCGGTTCAGCTGTTTGTTAGTTCAGCCGGTCAATGAACCTTACTTTTTTGAGAGGATGGTTCTCACTAAGATTGGCAGCAGAGGTCTTCCCAGAATTAAAGCAGTAATATTTTTTTTATCAATGAGACAAAAATCCTTAGCTCATTGCTGCAAGTGTAAAATGTGGATAAGAATTCAGTTTATAAAATTGTTAAACCTTGGGAGGATTCTCTTTCCCTTTACTACAAAACATTTTTAAGTGTATATGTTTTTTTTTTCTTCATTTATCTATTAAATTCTTTATTGTGATTTTGAATAATTCTTCTGAGGATTGTATTTTCAATATTATTTTAAGGACAATTTAATTCCATGAACACTATTAGAAATTATTCATTCATGGATTCCAGTTTCATGTTTAAAACATTATGTGGTGCTGTATTTGTCATTAAATTTTTGTAAAAGAGAACAATAGTACAGTACAGAGGATGAGGATATTTTTGAAAAAAATATTTTTTTGCTGGTAGCTGTGTTAGTTTTTATCCTAATTCTCCATATAACATTTAGGCAAGTGAACATGAAGTAGAATGAGGATAATTATAGGTAATTAATTTCATATTTTCAAAATATAAGCGGATATAATGTGTTTTAAAAAGCTACTTTTGATGACAAAATATCTGGCTGGTTCATAAAATATTTCATTTTTATTTCATCCATATTGAGTTTGCATTATCATCATTCACTGATTATTTATAGGTCGTTTCTAAGACCCAAAATATATTGTAAACAGGTGGCCAGTAGCCAATCAATGTTAACGGAATAATAGAATGGCAATTTATTATTTTTTTATTGATATTTTTGCAATAACTCACAAATGTTTTTTTACACTGTCATGTATTTGTAATTTTGCTACAAGTTGAAACACATAAGATCACTCAGCTTTGCATTTTATTATTTTTTTCCCCATTTATTTCATGACAACAATTTACAACAAAAGACCATTGAAATGCTTAAATAATTTTAAAAATCATATTTAGTTGAATGACCCCCCAAGACGCAGCTTACTCACCACAAGATGTGGTTGATTTACCCCCCAAGGCGGCGCTGATTTACCCCTTTACTTTGTTCTTTGTAAAATTATTTCATGTACGGCTAATAAACACCTTAAATCTCCGTCATTTATTTGGCTTGATAAATTTTACTACTTCTTGTTCTCGGATTTGATTGTTATGCTATAATAAAAACCTTTGATTTCTTTATTAAAAATATTCATATTATTATTTTGTTAAACACTGCAAAGTCACTTGACTCTTGAAGTACAATAAAAAGTTATTAAAAAAAAAAAGGCAATCACACTTGTACCCCTGAGAACTTTTACTATAACATTATGTTATTCCCTTTCAAGTGTTGCTTTACATGTATAATTTTAAACATATTAATGATTGAGAACCACTATTTTTAACTAAATAAAATAATTGGAGCATTGAAATGATAACATTTTAAAACAAAAGATTGCTCCATTTATAATTTTGTCTTCATCCTGCTGAGCTTCACAGAAGCAAATGAAGAAGACCCACTAAACTATGTGCCTTAATGCTTGTCTTAAAATTGTAACTCTATCACCTTCATAAAAATATGGACACATTTAAATGTTATTTTTTTAATGATAAATGTTCACTACTATTCAAATTGATAAATGCCTTCTACTTCTACTATTCAAATGGATAAATGGTCACTGCTATTCAAATTGATAAATGGTCTCTGCTATTCAAATTGATAAATGGTCTCTGCAATTCAAATTGATAAATGTTCTCTGCTATTCAAATTGATAAATGTTCTCTGCTATTCAAATTGATAAATGGTTTCTGCTATTCAAATTGATAAATGGTCTCTGCTATTCAAATTGATAAATGGTTTCTGCTATTCAAATTGATAAATGATCTCTGCTATTCAAATTGATAAATGATCTCTACTATTCAAATTGATAAATGTTCTCTGCTATTCAAATTGATAAATGGTCTCTGCTATTCAAACTGATAAATGGTCTCTGCTATTCAAATTGATAAATGGTCTCTGCTATTCAAATTGATAAATGGTCTCTGCTATTCATGTGGATAAATCTTCTCTACTATTCAAATTGATCAATGTTCTCTACTATTCAAATTGATCAATGTTCTCTACTATTCAAATTGATCAATGTTCTCTACTATTCAAATTGATCAATGTTCTCTACTATTAAACTTTTTAAACGGTCTCTACTTTTCAAATTTATAAATGTTCTCCAACATTAAATTGGAAGTTTTTTGTTGTTTTTTTTCCGATACATTAGAAAGTGTTAGAATATAATTTAAGTCATTCCTTCAAATCTATTGCTATTTTAATTGTTATTTTACTTACTATTTTCAAACCAGTGTCAAATGTGTCATCACCGTCTTTCTCCTTTTATCAGCTGTTCTTTTATTTTATGTCTTTAGATTGTTTGTTCCACTCCTAAGTTCCGTTTTTTTAAATTTTAGTTGTATTTTATAAATGTATCCTGTTCAAAAGGACTTTAAGTGATTTAACTTTTGTTGTTGTTATAGTTGCCTTTTTGTTACACTAATTTAATATATTCTGTTCTAGTGCTCCTCAAACTTTTTAGTGCGATTGACCTGTAGGAATTGATCCACATTGAAGCACATGTCCGGTTCATTCATTATTGTTTTTCTGAGCTTCTCAAATGTTGTTCCCCCTTTGAGATCCGGTCAGGGTTCATAGGCCGGCGCCAAGGCACAAGAAGGAAGGCTTTGAGGAGCATTGTATTTTTCAATTTTTGTAGATGTTCTGCATTTTGATTTATTCTTAATCAAGACCCTATTCATGCTTGTTGATGTAGTTGATGAGTTCGTCATCGAGATGAACTGCAGATATTCATTGACACAGGAAAACAAAATGATTAGAAGGGTTAGTTCTATTTAAAATAATCACAGTGAGCCCATCTTCCCTTTACCTATCTAAAGGTCATCATAAAATATTTTTTT